CGTGGATATTCTTATGATCTGTTGTTGTGTTCGTTCAGTGCTTCTTGCTGCAATTGATAAACTCAGGCCAAGCGGATAAGCCCTCAAATATTAGTTCTTCTGTGATGAAAGTTTTCCAGAAAGGCCTTTTAAGTCAGAGGTTAAAATCTTGTTCAATGTACACTCGCTTATATATTGCAATGACTTATTATGCCTGATAATATGACATGTATGGTATCCAGGGATAAAGAAACTCCACGATTAACTGAGAGCGGTTTCCAGTTCTTGGTATGAATCACATGAACCATAGACTTCTTGAAATCCGCATTGATCTATCTCACCAGGGATTCTTGTGATGTATGTAAACTTCAGTTGATGGAAACAAATGCACAACTTTGGTATATCATCAGAGAATATATATCTAATGCCGAGGTTTGTTTGTGATTTTCCATTTTTTATTGTCATGTCCTATTGCCTTCCTCTGAGGAAAAACTATATATATTCTGTCATTAATTTGGAACACTTTCTATTTGAATCCCAATGATGGACTATTGTTACACAAAGTAAAAACCAACTATTGTTAATTTTTAGACTGTTTTCTTTTGATTCATTGGTTTGTGTAATTTTATTATTTATTTTCTCTTATTCCTTTTTTGTAAATGCTTTATCAATATGGTGCAGGAGCGAGATGTTGATCCTGCAGATTTGATTTCTTTTCTGCTGGAGCTTAGTTTTCACGTGACAGGAGAGGTATCAATTCTTTGATCATCTTTTAATTCCTTGTTTTCATCTTTATCTTTTATTGTTGTGTTCTTCTTTTTTATCATTATAGAACTCCTCTTTTAAGTCTTTTTGCTTCATATCATTTTAGTGCCGAACTACTTTGGGTTGATTCAGGAGGATTTTTTTTTCTTAACACAGATTGATTATATTTAGTTTGTTATACGGTGCACTAATCCTAATTTACCTTCGGTTGTTTATGTTTAGGTTGAATTTGATTGGAACTTTATCCATATTCTTTTTCATTTATATAATGATTGTCACTCTTACGTGAAGAGTTTGTTTTAGAAAATAAACAAAGGGCTTTAGGGTTTTGTTTTCCTCCAGCGTAAGAGTGAATAACTATATTAATTATGGAGAATAAAGAACAAGTTGAGGAAAGGCATCAACCCAGTTAAGAACCACTGGGATGAGTTTCTTTCATCAACGCTTGCTGCATCGTGGTCTTAGCAACATAAAGTGATCTGGTTTTGAGTTTCCATATTTCCTGTGCATGTGATACACGAGAGAGGGATCATATGGGTTCTCCTTCGATAAAGTTTGGCGAGTATTAATCCTCCTCATAGCAAGATACAGAATGAAAAATATAATTTTCTTTGGGTTTCCTCACCTCCATTTCAGGTAACCTTTTAAACAAGTTGCATCTCTGTTAGCAGAAATGGTAATCATTTCAAGTCTAGAGTTTGTCCAAATTCCATCTCAATCTGCAGGTTGTCAATTTGGACTGTGGTTTTTGACAATGCTTAGCAGCCGAGTGAGACAAGTACTCAGTAGCTTCTCTATCATTTAGTGGCCTATTGAAATCAATCTTTTAGTTCTCCTATTCCAGCAGTCAGCTAACTCTTCATTTTTAAAGCTAGGCAACTGAATTCTACAGATAACTACCCTCTGAAGAATATTCAAAGCCTATGTACTTTTGTGGTGGCTATTTGTTGGTTCCGTTAACAAGTTTGAAGGAGAAACTACTAATTCTCACCTCACCACAAACTTCCAAGGGCTGCTGCTTCTCATTTTCCTATGGTGAACTAGTAGATGTAAATCAATTGTCTCTATCAATTCCACTTAGACGCATTTTAAGAGGGATAAATTACTTCCACAATGTAACTCCAAAACCTTCATCATCCCTCTCTCCCATCTCTTAATCAAGAACAGCTGCACGCTAATCCTCTGAGAACTATAATAAATACTAATAATCCATATAACTAACTTTTATAAAATTAATTCATTATTTACTGTCTAATAACCAACATGTTTCGTGTTTGTTTTGTAGGCTTATGATATTGATACACTGACAGAAGAACAGAGGTATGCTATCAAGGACCTTGCTGATCTGGGACTAGTTAAGCTTCAGCAGGTTTGTGGCTAGCCTCTGCTGCTTTTTAAATTGAACATGACCTTTGCTCAAGTTCTTACTTTATTTTAACTTCACCTTTTTTCTTTTTCTTTTTCTGTTGTGCTTTTCGCTGTTAATTTGTCCAGGGTAGAAAAGACAGTTGGTTCATACCTACTAAATTAGCCACGAATCTTTCAATGAGTTTGGCAGATTCTTCTTCGAGGAAACAGGTTAGTGTTTCTAAATTATATTTGAATTTGATATATTTCTCAGAAGTTTCATTTTATTACAGTTAGTTTTTTTATCGGTTTGTGTGTTTTGTATGATAGCTTTTTTTTCCATAATTATCCTTTAGTTATACATATAGAGTATCCTCAGGTATATGTCTTATCCTCGTTACCTTTTCTGTAATTATTATTTGACAGAAACTTGTTTTTGGTATTAAATAACTCAGTTGTCTTTTTTTCTTTGGTCCTAGTTCGGAGGCTTTATAATTTTTTTTTGTTCTTAATTGTCTTCCTGTTCTTTATCCAGGGATTTGTTGTCGTGGAGACAAATTTCAGGATGTATGCTTATTCTTCTTCCAAACTACATTGTGAAATATTACGTCTTTTTTCGAGGTATATGTTATCAATTAATGTTATGTTACATCATATAACCAATGTTTGAGTTAGCTTTAACTACCATGAGTTGACCTATTGGGTCAATAAGGACCAAATAAGACATAGCTTATATATGCCAACTACACTAGATTAGTATCCTACGAGTTACCTTGATAACCAAATGTAATAGGGTCAATTAGTTGTTCCATAAGAATAGTTCGAAGATGTACAAATGGCTCAAACACTAATATTTACCTTACTTTTTCTTCTTGAATGCTAAATATATTTGAATTCCCCACCCCTGCTAGACCCTCTGGAAATTCACATATGCTTGGAGGAAGGAGGGGCAAGCTGAGGGGTAACTTAGTCATTAGCATGCTTCTTGAGGTTGCAAGCAACTAGTGATAGATTCTGTAAGGTCAGTAGGGCCAATTAAGCATTGGAATACTGTTACATAATATGTTAATAATAATTCAATAGTTATAGTGTTATACTTGTGTAAATTAGAAAAGCTGCTGCTCTTCTTAACTAAATATAATTCTCTTTCACCTTTGTGTTAAATTTTTACAACAAATTTATTTGATTATTTTAAGGTCCGTTTTTTTAATTGTATTCTTACCAGTAGCACTTGTAATAGTTGATTAAATAGGGATATGATTCAAGTTCAACATTCTACATTTTACGTACTGCGTGGTGAATGCAGTAATTTTCTTTCCTGTTGAATTGAACCACGTAGTGAAGCAATCTAACCGCACTTATCAACTTTCTATTTGGTTCAAGAATGGTACATAAAACGAAACTGTTCTTCTGCAGGATTGAGTATCAACTTCCAAATCTTATAGTTGGAGCAATAACGAAAGAAAGCTTGTATAATGCTTTTAAGAATGGGATTACGGCACAGCAGGCAAGTTTTCTGCTCGTTCACCCTGACACGTTACTGCTAGTCTTATGAAGTATGCGTACCATTATATTATATTCAAGTTGCCAATGGATTGCAGTAGACCAGTTCTCCTTTGCGCTTCATTAGTTCACAATATCTTGCGTTCGTAGCACTGCTAATTCTTGCTAGCAGTGGTGTACTTGGAGAATTCTCCCCAATTCTAATTATTATTCCGTACAAGTGCCAAACCCATTGTTATCGGCCAGCCACAAAGGACTTCAACTAGCATTGGCTCCTAATCCACGAGAAACAATCTTTCTATTTTTCTTGTGTGCATCAATCTAAATTCTCTCATAAACTTAATGTAAACTCTGAATATCTTTTTGAGTTCAAAAAAATATTAAAACAAACGACACATGTATTCATTCAAAGGACATTGCTACAGTTTTCTATGCTGGTTTTCTCATCTCAAATTGCTTGATATCTGACTATTGTTTTGCAGATAGTTACTTTTCTACAGCAGAATGCACATCCTCGTGTTGCAGAGAGAATACCATCAGTCCCAGAAAATGTCACGGATCAGGTTTGGGTTGCTTTATTAAATTCTTTGATGTTTGGCAAGCGGCAAGCCAATGGTTTCTTGCCTACAAATCAACCCTTGCTTGGCATGGAAACCAAAAACGTCTATATATGATATCGTCTGACAATTTTATCAAATCTTTGTACTGTTCCTGATTTTTTCCGTTGCTCCTTGCTCCATGACAGATTAGGCTTTGGGAATCGGATCTTAATAGAGTTGATATAACTCCCGCACATTTTTACGACGAATTCCCTTCCAGGGTATGAATTTTGAATATTGCTTCTTTTAACTTTGAAGCTTACTTGTACATTCACCTGAAAAATCACCTGAGAAGGAATTGCTTTGGTATTCCAGGAAGTTTTCGAGGCTGCTTGCGACTATGCACGAGAATGGAATGGGTTGCTATGGGAGGACTCGAAAACCTTGCGACTGGTAGTGAAGGCAGACATACACACACATATGCGGGAACATCTTCGCCGTCAAAAGTAGATCGTGGATTAGATGATACAATACTGCTACCAATATCTGTTTATAACCATGGCCGCTGGTACTTCAGTTTTTGTTGCTTCAGTGGCATGTGCTAAAGATTTACTTCATTCAATGAGCAAGGTGAAGAACGCAGTGAGAGTTCTATGGGAGAAAAGAACATTGTGCCAATGATAAAGAGTTTCTTACTGTGTACGTTTATTTTTCAAATATTGGTTCCTTTCATAATTTATACGATACGGAAGTTTTGTTAGGTTGATTTTCCTTGGTCGATTGACTATATGTAATGGTTGGTGTCAACCTAAAGTGCACTAGACAAGTAATTTTTTTTTAATGAGCTCTAAGTATAAGTACTTAATATGTTGCTGCCTAGAATCGAACCGGTGACCTTTAGTGTGTAAGACTAATGTGATAACCACTCCACCACAGCAACTTGACACATAAACTATGCAGTATAAACTTAACGAAACTAGGTTAAAAAAGAACTCATTATGTTACTATCCAAGATCGAATTGGGAACCTTTAGTGTATAAAACTAAGGTGATAACCACTACACCACAACAACCGAACACATAAATCTTGCACTAGACAAGTAAATTAGTTTTAGTTACCTAATTTGTTCTCTAAGTATAAACTTAATGAAACTAGGATCAAACTGTGGACCTTTAGTTACACCATATGCACTAGGCAAGTAAACTTGTTTTAATTAACTAATTTGTTTTCTAAGTATAAACTTAATGAAATTAGGTTAAAAACAACTTATTATGTTGCTGCTTAGGATCAAACTAGGGATCTTTAGTGTGTAAGACCAACGTGATAATTACACCACAACAACTTGACATATAAATTGTGCACTAGGCAAGTAAATTTGTTGTATTTACCTAATTTGTGCTCAGTATAAACGTTGATATGTAATGGGTCAAAGCGGACAATATCAACTAGCAGTAGACTTGGACTGTTACAAATGGTATCAGAGGCAATCACATGGGGATGTGTCAGCAAGGACGCTGGGTTCTCAAGAGGAATGGATTATGAGATCCCACCTTGGTTGGAGAGATGAACGAAGCATTTCTTATAAAGGTGTGGAAAGTTTTCTCTTAACAGACACGTTTTAAGAACTGTGAGGGTGACGACGATATGTAACGAGCCAAAGCGGACAATATTTACTGGTGGTAGACAACCATAGTTGTTATTTCTAAAAATGTATTTTGTAAAACGTTTATTAAGCCACAAGGTTTCATAGCCCAATTCGTTTTAAAAAATAATTGAAATTTAATTCATATAAAATATGTAAAAAAATAAATTTCTATTCTTTTAAAAGAGTAGGCAGTCCTGGGTTTGAGTAAAATGGGCTTATAATCAGGCCTATTTGTTGGGCTGGCCCAATTATGTTATAATTACTACACGAAGATAATGCCAAAAAGACAGTAAATTGAGAAGTTTAAATTAATAATGTATTTTCATATGTTATTTCGATTAATTTTTCATTATTAAAATATTTTTGCGTCATCAATCAGCAAACCCTGATGCATATATATATATATAAACACGCAGCCATAAAACCCTAATTCTTCCTTTCGTTTCTCTCCCCTGTTCTTCAAACACACAATCACTCTCCAATGGCCGCTGCCGCTCGCCCCCTGGTGTCGGTTCAGTCCCTCGAAGGGGACATGGCTACCGATGCGGTGCCCACCGTCCCACTTCCGGACGTGATGAAGGCTTCAATTCGGCCGGACATTGTTAGCTTTGTTCATTCCAACATCTCGAAGAACAGCCGCCAGCCCTACGCTGTCAGCAAGCGTGCTGGTCACCAAACCTCCGCGGAGTCATGGGGTACTGGACGTGCTGTTTCCCGTATTCCCCGTGTTCCTGGTGGAGGTACTCACCGTGCTGGTCAGGGTGCTTTCGGAAACATGTGTCGTGGTGGTCGAATGTTCGCTCCTACTAAGATCTGGCGCCGTTGGCACCGCAAGATCAATGTGAATCAGAAGAGGTATGCTGTTGTTTCAGCTATCGCGGCCTCTGCTGTTCCATCATTGGTTCTTGCTCGTGGCCATCGAATCGAGTCTGTCCCTGAATTGCCCCTTGTTGTAAGCGACTCGGCTGAAGGCGTTGAGAAGACCTCTGCTGCACTCAAGGTTCTTAAACAGGTTGGTGCATTCCCCGATGCTGAGAAGGCCAAAGATAGCCATTCGATCCGTCCAGGTAAGGGTAAGATGAGGAACCGCCGTTATATTTCTCGCAAGGGTCCATTGATTGTTTACGGAACTGAGGGTGCTAAGCTTGTTAAGGCCTTCCGTAATATTCCCGGAGTTGAGATTGCGAACGTTGAGAGGCTTAATTTGTTGAAGCTCGCTCCCGGTGGACACCTTGGAAGGTTTGTGATCTGGACCAAGTCTGCTTTTGAGAAGCTTGATTCTATCTATGGATCTTTTGAGAAGCCTTCAGAGAAGAAAAAGGGTTATGTTCTTCCAAGGTCTAAGATGGTGAATGCAGATTTGTCAAGGATTATTAACTCTGACGAAGTGCAATCTGTAGTGAAGCCGATTAAGAAGGAGGTTAAGAGAGCTCCATTGAAGAAGAACCCATTGAAGAACTTGAACGCCATGCTCAAGCTTAACCCATATGCAAAGACTGCTAGAAGAATGGCTCTTTTGGCTGAGGAGCAACGTGTTAAGGCTAAGAAGGAGAAACTTGACAAGAAGAGAAATTTGACTACAAAGGTACATCTTTCCCGTTCTTAGTGAGATCTTTTGCATGTTTCTCATTAAGTGTTATTTGTATTCCTTTGGAAATCAAGCAGTGCGTATGTTCATATTAGAAATGACTGAAGACATTTCCTGCCTTCAAATACTAATAATTATTTGTTGCTGTGAGGTTTGTTCCATTCTTTGATTGATGGCATAATTGGTTTGATATAATGGCTTAATTTGATTGGTCGTTTACATACATTCTTGTTGAACAAGTGGTTCATAGTTAAGGGTTCTGCTTCTGGTAAGCTTCATGTTCAATTATTTCCAGCCATCGTTTAACTTCGAAATGCATCCATTTTCAGGTTTACTATTGACTCTCTCCTCCTGTTTTTTTTTTTTAAACTGTAATGGTTTGTGTTCATAGATTTTGCAACAGTATATTTTTCTTTTCAATCTGGCTGTACATATCACTGCAAGTAATGGAAATGATGATTATAGCTGCAGTTATGACATAGAGTGTTAGTAATCTTTGTGGGTTCTGGTTGAGAACTGGGTTCTTTTGGGACTTGTTTGTTTTATTATCTTGGTGAAGTTCTTATGAGACATATATTTCTCGTTTTAAATTTAGATACTCCATGACCACAGGTTGTTTAATATGGTGGCACATATGTTCATATTATCTGCATTTTGTGATTGTATACATCCTAACCTCGGTGCTGATTTTCTTTTCCCCTTTTGTACATGAATTTACAGGAGGAGGCTACCACAATCAAAAGTGCAGGAAAGGCTTGGTATCAGACAATGATCTCAGACAGTGATTACACCGAGTTCGAGAACTTCTCGAAATGGCTTGGTGTCTCTCAGTAATTTCATTTTTCTTTATTCAAAATCTCATAGACCTCATTACTTTGTTAATCTATTTTGTCAAGGAGTTGTTTTTCTTGTTTTGACTGTTTTTGCGTTTATGAAGGGAAGTAATTTGGGAGAACAGTGAGTGAAATAACATAGATAATCTTCTTTGGTCTTTTCCTCTCCCGTTTTTTATCTAGATTCCTAATCTTTGTTTTAGTATCTATTGTCAAAACCGATATTGTATGCACTATGATTTGATAATCTTCTGTTTTTCGATGGTCAATTTCCTGGATGCCCTGTTCTTCATTGGCATATCATTTTCCCTACAAGCCTTGATTCATTTTCGCTAGGTTTTTAAGTGCAACCATTGTAGGGATAGGCTTTTGAGATATGAACAAAAAGACGACCCTTGTTATTCATTAAATTGGGAATATTCTGGGCTTCAAGTTATTCATTTAAATATTTTTGTGCTATATTTAAATCCCTACAAGCCTTCAAGAGAAGAATAAAGCATACTCGCCTTTGTAGTTTATAATGTGTTAAATTTTGGGAGATTTGGCTAAAGTTTGTTCGTAAGGTAATCTTTGACTAGAGTTTGCAACCTGTTTGAGTTTTTCATTGGATCTCTCTCTCACCTTGAAGTTGGAGTTAGTTAAATGACTGACCTTGTAGACTCTTAGTAAATGTTTTGTTCTCCCCTAGCATCGAGTAGGGAGAGATTTTTATTCTCTTATAAAAAATGGGTCCAATCTCGCTAACTTATATTGTTCACTTTGACTTGTTATGTATCATTGTTTGTCTCGAGGTTTTAAAACAAATGGTCATACTCCTACTCCGATCAGTACCTCCATCAAACTAAACATAGAAACTCCAATTAGGTTAAACAAAAGTAATTGATATTTACTATTTATACCAATAAAATGTATGTGAGTGTCTACATGCTAAAATGTATGTGAGTGTCTACATGCTAAAAAGACTAGCGGTGGAGAATAATATAATATTCACTCTTATGAGCAATTTAAAACAAGTAGTTAACATAGTCATATTGAATGTCAGAAGTCATTAAGCATCAAATCAAGATTTCGGAGTTTTTAAAAAATCCTTATTCAAATGTTAAATATGAGGTGCTACCATTGTTCTCTTCACCCACCAATTGTTCTAGTTGAGAAGCAGCATGCACCAGGAATGAATAAGAAATAGATAGTATAAGAAATCAATGGTTCTTATTCCATCAAACTGAAGTTAACAACGTGTCGATTACACATCAGAGATTGGTACGAACTGATGGGCAATGCCCCTTAACCAAAGCAGGCCTACGAACAAAACAACAGTACTTGATCGAGCACGGAAACGATTTGGTTTCATGCAACAGCTTCAGAGAAGGAAGAGGGAAAGGATATGTGTGTGTGTGTGAAGAAGGGAAGAAATATACAGGGAGGAAAGAATAAGAAAAGAAGTTGAGAACCATGGATGAGTAGAGGGAGAAGGATGAAAGAGGCATTGCAAAAAACTTATTGTATTCTGCAGAAACGCATCATGAATTCATTTGTAACTTATAAAAAATCAAAACTTACCAGTTTGAGCAACTATACTATACAGTTCCACATAAAATATTTGGTTGCCTATCAATTCAAGCCAAGATTATAGAAGAAAAGAACCCAACCCAACCCAATTTGCATAACACTTCGCTGCACTTCTCTCACCTACTTTTGATTCTTTTTCCATAGAACGCCAATCTTTTTCAGCATGTTGATATTCTTCTTCTTCGGCGAGTCATCATCGAGCTCTTCGGAGTACAACGAGCCATGAGGATAGTTGGTGTCAATAGGACCTGAAATGTCTACAAGCTTTCCATCTTTCCCAGGTGAGAGCATTGCAGCAGCTGCCT